GGGTAAAATTTTTGGGGCCAAGTTTTTTTTAAGGGGGCCCCTTTTTTCCCCCCAAAGCGGGGGGGAAAATATTTTGGTAGTTTTTTTGGGCCGGGCCCCCCTTGGGGGGGGTTCAAAAGGGGGGGGGGGAGGCTTGCAGCAGTTCCCAGGGTTGGGTTTCCCCCCGTTGGTTTGGTTCTTGTCCATCCATTCCGGGGGGTTCCGGTTGGGTGCCTTATTCAATTTTCCCTTTTGGGGAAAAAAAAAAAATTTTTTTTAAAATTTTCAGGGGGCCTTTTTGGTTTTTTCACCCCCATATTTGGGGGGTTAAAGGTTCTTATTCCCCCCGGGGGGTTCCCGTTTTTTTTAAAGGCCCCCGGAAAAATTTTTTTTCCCAATTTTTTTTTGGAAATTTTTTGAAATTTTTTGAAAAATTTTTTAAGGGGGGGAAACTCTTTTTAAAGAAAAGGAAATTTTTCCCAAAGGGGGGAGGGGGGTTCCCCCATTTTTTTCCCCCGGGGGCGGGGGTGGAATCAGGGAAAAAAAAATTCCCCCCCCCCCCCCCCCCCCCCCAGGGATCAGGTTTGGACGTTCACTTGAAAAAGACCTCGCCGTGGTCTGTTGCTGGATTACCACTCCGAGAGAGAGAGAGAGAGATGCACAGGCTGAGGATTAGTTCTAGTGTCGATATTACAGTCGACTAGTTCAGGTTCTAGGTTGAGGTGGTTGTGGTGGTAACTTTTGGTTGTCAATTAATTCTGTGTTGAATAGATTGGTTATCAGTCATGGCGAGTACTCCGGATAGGATGCGTGCACTGCAGTTTTCTAAGTTCGGAGGGGGAGCTGCAGCTCTTGAGTCCGTGTATGCATCTCACTCTCTGCTCCTTCTAGCATGATATGTTTGGTGTAGTTTCTGTCTTACTAAGTTTGCCGGATTAAGATCAAGATATATATCCTTCAGTTATGGACTTGTCTTCATTTTCCCAGTTGTTGTCCATGTCTGCGCGTGGTTGTTTTTTTGCGAATTTTAATTTCTAGTTCTGCTTCGAATGGTTGACTGCAACCGTAGTTTTTTGATCGATTAACCATAATCTTTTTGGTTTTTAATGTTTAAACTGCACCCATTCGTTAGAATGTAACGTTGATTCCAGTCTTTCTCACTCGATACCTGCTCAAGGAATCGACCATAGCACTAATTGATCCATAAGTAGTCATCTGCACCTGGTATGTGCGGAAGCTTAGCCGGAACACATAGCAGCTTCATTACACCAGCTTGAACGGCTTTCCAGTCAACTGGATTCACACTTGTAGCGTCTACTTTCACCAATACCTGATCCTTCATAGGGACAGGCACCGGCACCTCTACAAGCTGCCAATTTAATCATTGAGAACAAGACCATATCAGAGTTACATCTCGGTTACGGAAAAAACAGTATTCGGGGGCTTCGAAAACATTCAAAAAAATCCCAGAGGCAGCGTCCAGCAAAATCCTTACGCTCCAACCACTCAAATGGACCTTGGCTTGGTGGATAAGATTTTTCAAGATTACGGCCCATAACTTTACTAGATCCCCAAAGAGGACAGCCATAACCATAGCCCATAATGAACAGATCCAGGCAATGATACCAAAGCCGGAAAACAAAATCATCTGATTTCGTAATAGCTTTAATTCAATCAAACCGCATTTGCTGTGAAACCATAGTCCATATGTTACGCCAAATGGTTTCAATCTAATGTGTGACATTTTCTTTAGAACGGAGGATCGTTAGCTGAGTACGTTGTATCACCCCTCAAATATACAATAAAGAGACCAGAAAATGTATCAGCACTTGATGGGGCCTCTTTTGGCATCGCCGGCCAAAGTGCTTTGCAAAGTGTGCGTGATTCTGGGGGAATTAAACTTGATGGCAGCTGCGTAGACAAGAATGTGCTCATCACAGCGGCTTCTGGTGGTGTGGGCACCTACGCTGTGCAGGTGCTGACTCAATCCCTTGCATACATGCATAACATAATTTTCAACTGTTTAAAATTTGAATTTAAGCATGTCTGAAATAGCCTCGCTTCGGGATCCAATATGAACAACTAAATCATGTTCATTAAATTATTTAGTTGTTCATATTGTTCATATGCCAGCCCTAATCCCACCCTTCAGCAAGGTACTGAAGTCATGGGATGGATACTGTTTTCTCACTCCATAGAGCTTCTTTTCCAAATAAACAGTTGTTCTTTAAGAACCTAATGCTCTTGTGTCTTGCACCTTTTTTCATGAATTGAATTTCGCCATCTTTATTGTATTGTGCATGGATATGATTGATTAAAGTTCTATAATTAATGTGAAGGAGGACACAATACTTATTAATTTAACATTGGTTGCATATGGTTGCCTGTTCAGCTTGCGAAATTGGGAGGAGCACACGTGACAGCGACTTGTGGAGCTCGAAATGTCGATTTGGTCAAGAGCCTCGGGGCAGATGAGGTGCTGGATTACAAAACACCTGAAGGAGCCACATTACAGAGTCCTTCTGGAAGGAAGTACGACGTGGTCATACACTGTGCAGAATCCCAACACTGCTCCACCTTCAAACCCCAGCTTGCCAGGACCGCCAGAGTAATCGACCTTAGTCCAAGGGCGAAAACTTTTCTTACTATTGGTGTCCAGCTCTTAACGTTTTCAAGCCAGAAATTTGTGCCATTTCTCATGACTGCCAACGGGAACGACCTTGCATAGCTAGGAAACCTTGTCAGTGAGGGGAAGTTGAGGACAGTGGTGGATTCCACGTTCCCACTGTCAAGAGCAAAGGAAGCCTGGGAGAAACAGATAGATGGGCATTCTACTGGAAAGGTCCTGGTTACAATGGACTAGATATCAACCTTTGAGAGCTGGGACGAACAATATGCATATAAATGTCAAGTACATATTCTGTTTCTGGTATTATTGAGTAATCAATATCATCTATACCAGAAACAGAATGAGATTATCTTGTCACATTTCACAGGATTTCAGCTACTCAATATTCAGTTGTTGAAGGATCATGATACTTCCTTGCACTCTACAAATTACTAAGCAGGCATGCTACTTCAACGATGTTGCAACGCTCCAACCGGAGGGCCCAGCCATAACTACCGAGACAAGTGGAATATAGATCTGAGTTAACCCAGGTGTACTCTAATTCATGCTTAGTGGTGCCGCTGAGAAGCATGGTCAATGTTGTGATGTACCGGTATCAACAAGTGCAACAACCTGTCCAACAGCCCCTGAAGCAAATCTTAGGGCCTGGAGCTAAATTAGCCAGAGCTCGGCCAGAGTTCACCATGAACGCAGCGCTCTGTCTGGCTGTATTGAGTTGAAATGCATGCAACTGTGCTTGTTGTTGATTTTTCTGTTCCAGGTATGCCAAATATTGCTCCAGAGACTTACCCATGTGCTGAGATGGATCCCACTCTCCTTGCTCCTCCTCTGGGTCTCGTCTTTTGATGCTTGTTCAGGAGGATTCGAATCCTCTTGCCCGACTTCGCCCTGGATTGATGCCAAATGCGCATCAAAGTCGCACTGTGCACAATGGTAGCGGAGAAACCGGCAGATGCTCCCCTTGCAAACATCACAAATCTTAAGTTCCAAATATGAGAGCTTGCGGAGCTCGACAGTGTGCTTTGGGTGGCTCGGGTGTTGGAACGTCCGTGGTAATTTCGCACAAGCGGCGTGAACAAAATAATTGCAGCTATATCCGTCGTTGGACATCTGTACGTCCACTTAGCATCTCGAACAGACATATTGCACGCATCACAAATTGCGTCATAGATGTCCTTGAAGTAGTTCTCGGGGGTTAGGACAAGCTCATGTTCCGGATGATCGGAAAACCTTATTTCCTTCTCCTGGGGTTGTTGCTGGGAGGGATCACAATCTTTTCCTGTTGAGGGTTGTCCTGTTGCTTGCTGAGGAGGACAAGTGTCTTCCTCCACCGTAGACTCCATCAAAGACTTGCTGATAGATTCTTGCAGGGGAGCCACTTCCGTGCTTGCCTGTGGCTCTGGCTTATTCCGATGCCTCCAACCTGAAATTGTAAGTTTGAAAAAGTCCCGGGATTTGTCATCTGCATCGCACGCCAAAAGATTTAATGCGTGTACCGAACTTTTAAAACCGCAATCCCTCTCCTCCAGGATTGACTCGGTATCCTCATTTCCAAATAAGCTTGTATCCAGCATACTCAACAATCCTTCAAGAGGACTTGCAGATACGACATCACCTAGAACAGGCAGCTGGCGTATTCAAGTGAAAAGTTTTGGAGAAATTAGCTTCATGCATCATCACAAGCCTTTGCATTTTACCACCTTTGGCTCTAGCCCCAAGAAGTCATTTAGCCCCAAGTGAAGTCGATCTTCATTCCAATTTCGAATCTCTCGTCCTCAACTATACATTGGTATAGAATACCATTTGCGTAGTAGCGGGAATACTTGCCGCCATCGAACACAACGCTGCCGGTTATATCTCTCTGACAGCCCTTTCACAAACGTCACAGCCCTGCGCAAAGATAACCAAGAAAAACAGGGTTCGTTCAAGATGACGGAAAATGAGGGCAGTTCTAGAACGTCATCTGACTACACATCTAACAGATGAGCTAAGGCTGGAGACAGCAGAGTCAACAACATACTTCTCGCCAAGATGGTGCAAATCGTACAGAGACTGTGATTGTCTCGTGCCGCAGAAACGGATCTACCACTCTGGGCACTTACAGGCTTCATCCGCTAGTTGTTGGATTGGACAACAAAAAGGAACGTGGAGTCTTGGAGCTAGAAGGGACTCTTACATGTTGACATTGCTGCTTGGTTTCGCTCTCAAAAACTGAACAACAAATTCCTTGCTATGATCCTCGGCCATGCACATGTTGTAAACGTCGTAGAAGTCTCCAAATGGGCCTGCAGACAGTGTGCAATGCAACGGAGCATGGGTAGCACCTTTCTTCATTTGGTGAAGTCGTCCCTTGCTTTAGAAATACTAAATGCTTACTCAAGTGGAATCAAGCCCAGAACTTCTATACTACAAAACTTTAAGGAGACGATTCAACAAAGCAGATTGCCGGAAAGTCTAGAAAGATCCGAGTTCTTTCCTGGTGCATAGTGAAACTAGATTGGCGAGAGATTAGTTTGTATCATTCTCCGGTGCGCCGATGAAGCCAACAAGTACATGCCATCAGTGTCAAATGTGTACGTCGCATTGTATCCCAGCGCTCATAATTCCGGACGGGCGGTGAAGCGGAGGTGCAAAACTTCTTCACTCTGCGGTAGTGCGCTTTTGTGCTGCTGTCCTTGCCCCGTGTCTAAGGGGGCCGCAACCATTCACCATATTAATCGTAAAGTTCATCTTCGAAGACATTTCGGACATATGATTCTTGCAACCCCGATTCCGCCCCGGCCGGCTTCTGGGCTGATCACGTTGGAGCTGTGCCCTCTATAACCAACTCAAAACCTGTCACGACACAATACCAGCTGGAAGGAACTTGTAGTTGGTACTTGAAAGTATTCTCTTACAGAGAACCGACTATTATTTTATTTTTTCCCAGAAGAAACACCGAAACATTTGCGGTTTCCTGACCGGCGTGCCAGCTCCCACCTCGTCAAATGGCTTGAAATGTCCACCACTTTAGATTTGATGATCCGCCCATTTGCTCAGGTGATCACTGCTCGCATGACCGATATCCTCGATTCCACATTAAAAAAGAAGTAGCCACTTCATCCAGATGGAACTTACCACGCGTAGATGACGTCTCCCCGTTTCTAAGTTCGATCAGGTGCTGATTTCCTCAGGTCTGTGCCCTTGTCGTAAGTCTAAAATTATACCAACGACATTAATGTCAGAGTGCATCAAGCATTTGCCGACTGACTGAAAGAACGTGGATTCTACCATAGAAATATCTGCTCCAATCAAGTGAGTGGAACGTTTTTGTATTGAAATATGTCTTCCAATCATGAATATTAAAATGACTTGGGATTATGGATGAGATTTTAAGTGGTGACAACAGGGTTGAGTTTATACAATACTTTGCCATAAAGGTGGCTTCTATGTAGGATTTAGGATTTAGCATTATCATTTTTCACCTGAATGGATGTAATTGGCAAGGGGATGTTGATATCACCTTCCCACTTCTAAACACAGAGGCATGTAATACCTTGCAACTTAATCCCAATATTTGACAATTGAATACATTGATGCTTCATCTCCATCATATTTACAAATAATCTACTTATAATGAAGAAAAGACAAAGTTCTAATATTGTAAGTGTATTTTTTTCAATTTGTCAAAAAAAAAAAAAAATCAAAAAATATAAATAAACAAGTCAATTTTTTTTAGAAGGATGGTAAAAAAAAGAAATAATTATAAATAAATATATATATATATATATATATATATATATATATTTCAAAAAAACTAAAATGACTATTGCCAAAAGACAAAAAAACTTGAGATTCTTGAAATTAAACTAGAAGCAAGAAAAGATTGAATAAGAGTGAAGAAGGCCTCACTCTTACCTTTGTATATACTATGTAACTAGGAGCTATATAGTAATGTTCTATAGGACCTCCAATATGGATCCAACTTATAGAATGTGTATCTAATTTGTAAAACAAGGTTTCTATATGTGCGCCATAGATCCAAATTGTACCACAAGTAGCCAACTTATTGTCCAAGTTTTTAACCTATCAATCACCTATAGATACATAAAAATACAAAGCAACATCTATGAAGTTTTTAAAAAGTTTCTTTTTATAAGATATTATCAAACTACTCAACTTTTATCTATTTCTATCTACTTATATTATATAGGTAATTATTAAAATAAATATATATATATATATATGATACTTTATTTTATGATATTTTTATTTTATTCAATATAAATTATGTCATTAATATAGGTATTAAAAAATTCTATTTTTATACCATATTATCTTATTTTTTATTTATCTATTATTATTATTATATTATTAATATTGAATCATATATAAAATCAAAATCAATAATATAAAATTTAATATAAATAAAATTTTATTTATTTAATATTTATTATATATAAAAAAAATTATATATATCAAAAATATATATACATATATATTTTAAAATTTCATAAAGTACACTCAATTATACAATAAAATAAATTGATGGGCTTCAAAAAAAATCTAAAATTCAATTGTATATGGCTAGATAAACAAATGTGCCTAATTAATATCATAGTAAATTTGTTTTTATCAAAAAATAAATTTAAAGAAATTTTAACAATTATTTTATATACTTATTATACTTGCATGTTAGCATTGGAACTTAGGATTGACAACAGCACACAACAAGATAGCCTTGATTGGGAGTAGGCTAAGACAATGCAAAGAAGGAGAAGACTTGGTTTTTGCAAAAACAATCTCTTATGCAATTAGCCAAATTTAATCTCAATTATACCTTAATGCTATTAATGTTGATTACTTTCTTAATCCATTACCATTGGTACTAGTTAATTTATTTGATGACTTTGTCAATTAATCTCATATTGTATATAATGATTTTAATTTGGCTTACTTGTTAGGCAATGGACAAATAATAAGTATAGGAGAATAAAAAGTGATTTTTTCATTCATGTGCCAAATTACCAAAGTATAAGTTAGATACTTTTCTTGTCAAAGTAATTGTTCAAGATGATCTTCAATAATTAGGCAAAACCTATATAATTAAAAGTTATTCAATTGATTGTATTTATTTCTTTATTTCTTTATTTCTCCTTTTTAAATATTAATCAATAGATATATGTTTAACATGGTACTAGAGATAATTGTACATAAATCTATAGATTAATTTGTGATTTAATGTATTTAGCAACTTAGTATAGAGTATCATAGAATTTCATAGTATTTTAAGTCATTATAGTAGATCATAAAGAGAAAATTATAAGTTGAAAACTATGAAGGAATATTACAACTAATATATGATCCAAAGAATTGACAAATAAAATTAATCATAAGTTACTCAAAATAATATACTAAAAGATCAGATTTCTTATTATTGGATACAAGTTACTTAGAAGGAGAAACAAATTACTAAGTCTAATTGTTCAAGATGATTAAAATGTTAGGATAATATTGCCTCTAGCAATTCAATATAAATCTAACATCATATTTTTTCAATGAATTAGAAATAGATTGTAGATAAGTAGCATTAGATGCCATAGCTAAATTAATGAAAGACTCACAAATTTCTATTATATGATAATATCAAGATCCATATAAATATTTGTAGCATCTCTAAAGTAAATAAAAAACTAATACAAGTTTTTGATGATTCATGCTTCTCAAAAAACTAATTATTATTAGAAAAGACAACATAACAAGCATAGAAGCATATTTAAAAGATATAAAGAATACAATTGATTAATTGAAAGCAATCAAGGTGTCAAGGTAAAGAGAGTTTGCATCAAGAAAGCATTGGGCTTCTGGCTGCCACTAAATGCTCAATCAAGTCTAAGATATAAAAGTACCAAGTTATATATATAATATTTTCCATTTTTCGGCAATTACATCAAAACATAAGCCCAAGTACTAAGAAAACACCCAAATGTATGATAAGGTATCTTAAAACCTTATATATCTTTATGAGAGATGTTTCTCGAATTTCAATAGCTCATATCTCACGATCGGAATGTCCAAAAAATTCTAAATTTTACATGAAGTATTGATATGCTTTCAAAAACTACTATACAAGAATTCAACTGCAAAATCGTTACAGATCTTAAGATATCATCAAAACCCTAAAAATAGCTTTAAACCCTAGCTTACATACACCTGTGTGCTAGTTTCTTCATATCTCATAAAATAAGTACTCAAATACCATGAAACTTTGATCTATAGCTTCTTAACTTAATAACTCACACTTGTAAAAAAATTGAGTCAAAAATTCGTCCAAAAACTCAAGATATGGCTCCAACCATTACTATCAATAAAATGACTCACTTACTACCTTTGAATTACATGTGCTGTATTCAATGCCCTATAACTCCATCCAGACTTGGAATTCGTCAAACAATACATGTAAAGTGTAGCCAAGAAAGTTTTCACTCGAACTTTAGTTGCCAATCTTTTATTGTTCTCCGTACGCATATGTTATGCTTCAAAGAATGATAGTAGATACAAATTTGACACCTTAACTTTGAACACCTATATCTCCTTCTTAAAAACTCGAAATCACACAAACTCTTCATCGAAATTATACCCAAAACCCTGAACTTGCTGACTCTAGCCTCCAAAGCTTGAATGACTTTGAAAGAGAAATCCTAATCCCTAATAAGGCCTCTGGCAGCCTCCTTGAAGCCCATTGGGCATGGCCTTCGACCAATAGGAATGAAGTTTTCCATTCCTTGCCTTCATCCAACCATGCCTTGCTTTCATCCCTCCTAATAAGCCTCCTACTAGTTAAGAATTTCTTTTTTAGGCTCTAATCTCCTCTCAAGGCTCCATACTAAACATTTAGGTTCTATAATATTTTTTTTGAAATGCTATAACTAAAAAGATAAACTCAAAATAATGTTTCTTAAATCCACTCTCTTTAAATTAATATATTTAACCATTCTAACATACACCAAGACTTATAAACATATTATATGTTCTAACTAATTTTAACATACTATAAATTTTTACAGTATGACAATGGTTACTATCCTTGAAAATCTAGTATTATTGGTACTACTTCATTCTCTATACAAGTAGTACCAATTGTTTTAGAAATTTTTCATTGGTAACAATTTATTCATTTTTTTTTATTTAGAATCAAAATTATTAGATGAAGATTGCTAAATTAAACTAGATCTAAAATACAAAGCTTCTAACAAAACGTTGTTTATTAGAAATAAAAAAAAAACTTTAAAACCAACTTCTTCTAATTAAAGCCTTACACCTTGACAATACAAAAATCATCTAATAAGATTAGCCATCATTCAAAACAAACAACTAAGAGAATATAGACAACCACTATATAAATCAAGAGTCAAAGATCATAGATTTAAGGACAAATATTTCTTTTGCAAAGAACTTAGAGACTAAAAAAATAAGTGTGAAATAAAAAAATTAAAAATTGATTGAATAAATGAAGGCTTTACAAGAAAAATTTAACAAATTAAATTGTAAGATTAAATTATAAGTCAATTCTATGAAAAAGCAAAGATCTTATGAATAACTTAATAGCATAAGTAGAACCAACATTGATACTAAAGATGTAATTAAAACATATCTTTTTGAATCAATAAAACTCAATTCACTCAAATTAATGCAATTGGTATTTTTTCACATTAAATATTTATCCATGTCTATTATTATTACAAGCCTATTTACATTATAGATTTTAGATTCCAAGGCTATACAACATAGAAGTAGCAACTCCAAAATAATTTTAGAACTACATCCTTTTGTTACCATTCCTATGATAATTACAAGTAGAGAATCTTATATTATTTCAAGAAAAAAGAATGTGTTCATCACATTTTCTATTGGTGAAATAAAATAGATCAAAGATATTTTGAATATACTTAGAATCAAATAAAATCTACTTTCAATTGGTATCATCGTT